GCAGCACCACCACCACCACCTCCACCCCATACCATGCTGGCCACTGAAACTGGGTATGGTAGCACATGCCTTTAATCCCAGCTCTAGGGAGGCTGAAAACAGGAGGATCACTAAGAGTCTGAGCTGCGTAGTGAGACTGTATGAAATACATTAAAAAAATAAATAAATAAAATAAGCAGTGTTGATTGAAAACATAAGAAAAGAGAAAGCTCCTAATAGTAGGGGGGAGTGTAGAAAGTTACCAAGTGAAATTTTTGTCTAGGGTCTCTTACGTCAGGATGGCCGGGTGCCTACCATAACAAGTCAAGCTGGCTAATCCTCTATAGAATTTGGGTGTGAACTATCCACATGCTCAGATAACCTGCAGAGAAACAACACGCAGTGGCCGTGCACTAGCCACACACTTTTTGGCCAGTCAGAAGTCTTCCTGTGGGGGCTGGTGAGATGGCTCAGTGGTTTAAAGCACCTACTTAGAACAAGCTTAACGAAGCACAGGGACCGCGGTTCAATCCCCCAGCACCACATGCTGGCCAGCCCCGCCCCCTGGTGGGCTGAGCTGGCCACACACACACACACACACACACACACACAAATAAATAAATAAATAAATTTTAAAAAAAAAAGAAGAAGAAGAAGAAGTCTTCCTGTGTAACTGGGGAGAACAGAGTAAAAGGGGGAGGGTGTTGGCTGCAGCGATTCCCTTCACCGTGCTTGCTTTTCCACTCCCGACTTAGCTGACTCTTAACCCTAGATGCAGGCTGGCCCTGCCTTCCTTGCAGGCCCCATCCCTTGCTGGCTGCCAGTTTATAAGCTAAATAGCTAAGCCACCTCTCACGATTTGTTTGGCACTCAGTGCACAAGCTAGAACGTGTTGGTGTTGATGATAGTGCACTACCTTTTCTAGCTAAAAGAGTTTGTTTTATTCTCATAGATTGGGTACTTGTCACACTTGCCAGAACTAATTGAGCTGAACCAAGGCTCTGCTGTGTTTACAGCTGGATATGGCTTATGAGTTCCCTTTAGGAACTAGGCAAGTAAGATTTTATGTGAAATGTTTTTAACAACTACCACAGAGCTATACAACCAAAATTTACATTCTGAAGTAATTATAGCAGCTTTTTTTTTTTTTTTCATTTCAGTGGAAAATGCTCAATTACATTATTCAGTGATGTGTAAGGTATCTCAAAACCAGCATTTTAAGTAAAGGAAGAGCAAGATCACTTAAGTTTTAATATTCTTCATAGTTACATAAATTTACTTAAACTCAGGCCAGGGATATAGCTCAGCGGCACAGCACCTGCCTAGAAAGCACGAGGTCCTAAGTTTGATTCCTGTTACCAAGAAAAGAACAGAAAAAAATCCCGAGGTCAGGTGTGGTGGCACATGCCTGTAATCCCAGCACTTGAGAGGCTGGAGCAGGAAGATCATTGTAAGTCTGAGACCAGCCTGAGCTACAAAGTGAGCTCAAAGCCCGCCTGAACTGCACGGTGAGACCCTGTCTCAAAAATATATAAATAAACAAACTTATTTAAATCTTCACCTGTGAAACTATTTTTCTTACGTAGAATAAAGCTAGTATCAGTGCTACACTAAATGGATCCTACAGAATATTCATAAAAATATGTTTCAAACCAGTGTTTTTATGTGGAGATTTCATACATACACATGCATAATCACAACATAAAACATACTGCTAAATATGATACATGCTGGTATTTTCTGTTTTGTTGAAAAACCTTTAGTAGTGACCCATTTATGAGTTACAGTTCACAGTAATAAATTCATTGTATGAGATACCCTATAAATAGAAGATGATGATGCTTAAATTATATGCTTTTCTATTATCAAGCTTCACTTCCAAAATTAGTATGTAGTATAGTTAATAATATCTGCCTTTATTAATAGTTTATACAGGATTTTTCTCCACATTTTTAGTTCTAAACTTTTTCCCTAACAAGTAGGCCAGTAATAACTTGGAGAGGTGAGGGTGAAATAAAATATATCTTGGGGATATATATATATATATGAGAAATGTAATTATTATGGGTTACACACACTAATCAAAAACGTAGAAATTACTGGAAGAGTGCCAAATATGGTGGCACATGCCTGTAACCCAACACTTGGGAGGCTAAGACAGGAGAACTGTAAGCTCAAAGCCAGCCTGGGCTACAATAGTGCATTTAGGGTCAGCCTGAACTATATAGCAAGACCTTGTTTTATTTTTTTTTTCAAAGTTTTATTGATAAACAGATAGCAATGAGACAGTTTCAAATCAAATCGAAAGTACAGTTTCAACAAATAGTACACTGCA